AGGAGGCATATGTTTTCAGACGGATCTAGAATATTAAGAACGTCTATATTCGAAGGGTTAATTTTACCGTTGACCGTGCAATCGACTGTGCATAATACATTCGAGCCCGATAATCCATCGTCGAGTCGCTTTAATATCGAAAACGGCAATTAGGCTGCGCATGATTTTTCGAAAGAGCCTTGTAATGAAAACTGGGCTGATTTTTAATGACGTTCCACTGTTTCCCCAATACGAAGATCACTTTCATCGATGTTTGATGCGTCCAATTTGCGGGGAAATGCAGGTTTACATTCAAATTGATTCTCCGGATAGATTGCAGTGTCTATGGTATCTTTGGAACAGTTTAGATCTGTATTCCTTATGGATCTCGGGTGTCCCGTTGGTCGCGTGCTTGTAGGCGGTAGGCTTAAATAGGACAGTTGCTGGCGTTCTCCTTAATATTAACGAAGGAAATGAAGACTTGTTTTCATTTTATAGACTGTAGAAAAAATGTTTTGAATGATACTTGTGATAAATTTTGATAAAATCCAGATAAAAGTCTTGACACTTGATATTCAGGCGGACGCTTTATCTCATTAACCTCTAGATTAACTTCTTCACGACGAGCCACTGTGTATATTTATCAGCGTATGAAAAATGTGTAAAAGGTGTTACCGTATACTTGGACTGCGGACCTTTATGCAAATATTAGTTTTTTAAAGATTTATTAGCAAGTTACATGCATGGAAAATAACAAAAACTCTAATGGAACAACATAACAATTTCTTTTGTAAACCTCATCTAAGGGTAATATTAATAGGCTTCTTATCTATGAGCACTGAAATTTAAAAGTCTATTTACTGGTCAATAAAGTGTTAACTCGTCTTCATGTTCCTCGCATCAGCTTGTATTCGATGTTCATCATTTCTCCCCAATACTCTATTCTCTATTCCCCAAAACTTTCTTCTTCTATAAAGACATCTCTTTGCATTCACTGCCTGAACCCTTTAACAGTTGAATAAAATTACGACTTGAGGTAAAAGAACGTATACTTTAATATATAATAATAATAATATAATATATAATATATATTTTTTACTACAATAAAATTAAACTACTTCTATCCATGGTAAAAAAATGTAAAAAAAAAAAAACATGTTTTACACGTATTTAATAATTACGTCGTGTATGATAAATCCGCCGACTCACTCAGGATAAACTGTTAATGGCTTAATCGTATCCTCTATTTTTCATCTTCTTATACGGCGACCGATAAAATCATTCCATAACGATTCACCATCCGTTCAGCGAAATAGCCGGTGCCCACGTATCTCCCGCGGAATAACAGAATTTTTGGCCATTGGTTGGTAATCGCATATTTAAATTTCCCGGCTCGGACAGTTTCGCATTAGCGGGGGGCCCGCGGTACGGTCTGGCTCTTCCGTTCACTTTACCGAAATGGATGTTAATTTTCGCCATAAACCCCGAGTAACGATCTGTAATTTCAGGTGTATACCGCTGGGCAACGCGCGCCCGCAATTCCACACCGGTTCCGCACGTGCTCTCCTCTCCCCTTCTCGGTCTGCCCCCTCCCCTCCCTCTTCGTGTTTCAGCCTCTTCCTCTGTCCGTCTGTCTGTCCGTGGCGCCCCTCTGCCCCTTGCCTTATTCATCTCGATTATTATACTCCGTGGCGGCGGCCGACGAACCGGGATTTCATAAAAGCCTCGCCGCAACGAACGCAACTTAGCTTGACCCGCTTTCATTATTTCCTTCGCTCCTCCCACTTTTTTTTTCCACAGCCGCGCGCGTCTCGCCGTTAATTGCCCGGGAGCAACAGGTTCGTCTAGGAGACACGCGGACACTTCTGTCACCCTCCGTGGATTCTAGATCGATTCCCTTCAGCGTTTGTGCAGTTGGACTTGGAAATGGAGACTGTTCAGTTTGATCGATTGTGGAATGGAGATTATTTTGGTTTCACGCCAGATTAAGTTTTTAGAGGTCAGAAGTACGGTAAGATCACGATTGGTTGCGAATCTAGATTGTATCTTCTTCTCATTGGATTACGCGTGAGCGATAAAGACCGGTGCCTGATTTAACGTGATCTGACCGTACCGTGACCGCTAGTGGGGATCAAGCTTTAGTTATTCCAAATGTATTAAGTTAACGAGAGACAATCTTAGTGTGGGTTTAGATTCTAAGCTCATCTAAACGTCAGTGTGGTACTCTAATGGAGATTGAAATATACTGTACCATCCTAAATTATTGCATTTCTTAATTGATATTAAAAATATTATATAGACATAATTCTCGATATCCACATCGTAATCTTAATTATTCCGATCTCTTTTCAACGATCGGTATCCACATCGTAATCTTAATTATTCCGACCTTTTTTCAACGATCGATATGCACATAGTAACCCTAATTATTCCGATCTTTGTTCACCGATCGATATCCAAATCGTAACCGTAATCACATCCATTTTGATTCCTCACCTCCCATGAGACACACGGTTTTTCCCGGCTTACCCGGCCATTGTATCGACGTTGTTACACCTCTTCCCTTCGTGGCTCGATTGGAATCGGCGAGACGTGCCCGCTCGATCGACCGGTCGCTGGAAGAGCTTGGATAACGAAGCCGGTAACTGGAAGTCGATTGTGAAAGCCTCTGTAACGAGTGCGTAGTTGCGTTCGACGAGACCCACCACCCCTCTCGCCTCTAGGTAACTTCTCTCTTGCCTCGCGCTGGGTTCCTCCGAGCGTGATGGAGACCTCGATGGTGCTCGACATCGTTTCGCCGTGTACATACTTACACGCTTCCACCCGTTGTCGTTCCCACCCCCTTTCCTCCACCGTTAACGATCGATTGTTTTCGTATAATTAATTCTGGTAGGTGGGATAAGATCGACGCGGCCCACGATGTTCTTTCGAAATGTAATCGCTGAAGGGACCGTGTTTCGGCGAATCTTTAGGATTTGTATTGGTTTTGTGTCGATTAATCCTGAAGCGGAACACGGGTCAATCCACGATTTTTCGATGTCTAATCTTTGGAAGATATTTTTGGTAACTGTTAAAACGCATCCTGATCTTTAAGTTAACCCTTCGCGATCCAATTACCAGTGTGACTGGCACAACAAATAAAGGCGATCTACTATCAGCTGTACTGTCAACATATTATCTTCTTTTGTTGTACCTAAAAATTTCTGGAGTAGACTACCTACAGGCGCAAAGAATGCACAGAGGAATTTTTAAAACTATCACATTAGTCCATCGTTGATGAGCCATGAAGACATTGAATTTTCTTCATTTCAGATAACTTTTTGAACAGTACAATTTTTTCGTGACTCAATTTAATAACCGAATTTATAAACCGTTTCACCGAAACAGGTGTATCGTTTCACTCCCCAAACAATCATTTACCCAGACGCTTATTGAAAACGATTCGCGGTGATTTAACAATTCGGCGAACCGCAATATTTTATAAGCGTGCGACGAGAAACAGCGATCGAAAAATAAAAAACAAACAGTTAATTCGTTTCTTCGCCCGATCGATTCGGTTTGTGTTTTGTTTACCCGCCCGGTTCGTTCCGACTGCAGCAATTAATTCCTCGGCCTGTATATAACTCCGTGTATCCTCGCTTGTTAAATTACACGCGGCTCGATCCAAATCGCATTAAAGATTTATCCCGTTATCCGTTCCTCCCCCGTTCGCGAGCTTTCGTCTTTCTCTCTCCATCTCTCTGGTGCGTTCTCTTCGTGTCTCTACACGGTGTTCGGAGCCGAACTTCCAGAGTTAGAAACTCGTCGGAGCCGATAATCAGTTCGTCGGAGACTATTCCAAGTCTCGCCGATTAGGGGCGCGAGTTCGCCACCGCTCGACGCGTGCTGTGTTTCGCTCGGAAACTTGCTGAACTCCGTGCCTACGACGAAAAAGGGACAACAGGGAATTCTTCATCGGACTCGATGAGAACTGTGCTCGGGAATCGATGTTGTATATACTATACAGGGTGAACCAGGAATCGTGATCAGTAGAGATTACTCTGTTATTAGCAGTCTGATCGAAAATGTTTTTATCAGGTATAGCATGGTTTCAAGAGAGATTTAACGCGATTATAGCAAATTTTTTGTCAACTCTTTTTTTTCATGATTTTTCAAGGCCACCTTCAATTTTTTGCAAGTACACCTATAATTTTTTTACGCCTATCTGTTAGAGGATTTCAAGACGAATTCGGTAAGTATCATAACATAACATGTGTTACTTTTTTTTTCATCTGGGTCGAGGAAAGATTAAAGAAATATTCGAACTGTAATATTACAAAGAGTATTGTATGCTACGTCATTGTACGTGTTCCGATGTTCAGCTCTTGCCTATTGTTTGTAAACATTTCGTTCTGTACATTGGAAGACATCTAATGATATCTACTGATCACGATTCATGGTTCACGTATTGTAACGTAATGGTATTTGTATATACGTGGAGCACGCTGTGACGAATTGAAATCTCGATTTGTTCCCTTGTATTCGCAGTGGTCCCGGAAAGTATTTTCTACGCCCACATTCTTTGATAAATTTTTGTATGTGTGGAAAAATGTACGGGAGTGTAAAATGTGGGAGGGCGCGGATGCTTTTGCATCAACTTTATTTATTAAGGTTATGTGTTAGTATAATATAATAGTGGGAAAATGATTTTCGAAAATATGTATGTATAGTTTGTGTTGTATAATTTAAGACTATACGACAGCTAATTTTGCGAGTAACTTCCATCGCTGGTCTGTTTTTGTCGAGAATTATAATAATACAGTAAAGGCTGCATGAGAGTTGGATAGGAAGTTCCTCGTGAGAGTTTTTACTTCATCCCCACCAAGGGAGGGGGAGTGCACTGCGAAAGTTATGAAGCGATCCCGAGTTTCCAACTCTTATGAAGTCTTTACTGTAATATTTCAGTTTATTATTGTTAAAATTTGTTACTATAATATTCAGTTACATGTAAACTTATCCATATTTGTAATTTTGCATTTCAGATGAAAGGCCGCGAGTTGTCCCGTTCTGGAATATTACCGTGTTACCCAGCGTTACAACAAAACAGCGTTAAATGAGGTAAGATAGTCGCTGTACTTTGATTATTTTCAACATTATACTGTGTCAACTAACGACGCATTTAAGATCTCTTATCGAAAAAATTCGACGCGTTAACAGTTTGGTTGTGATTATCAGATAGGGCCATTGGTGAATCAGAAAGCTGGTTATCCAATAGTATTAAAAGGGTTAATCTGGTAGTTAACGTGTCCAAAGTCAGGAATAACGCTGTCAGATACTGCTGCATTACGTATTATTCTCATAAAACTCCGCGCAAGTCTGTTTAGAGAAGGTTAATAACACACGAACGATACGAACAACATAACGACGACAATCATTCTCCCTCGTGCAACAAGCTCGAGAACCACTTTTACCAACGAAAACATCCCGGAGCCCCGTTACGCGTTCGCCATTCAGCGGTGCAGAGCGTGGCAGGTTAAAGCGAGAGCGGGACCGGAAACGGGGCTGCCCGGGAAGCGGCGTCGAAACAGCCATTCACCGCACGAAGAAACCGGAATATACATATATAATAGAGGTGTGCGTGTATATGTGTGTTCCGCGTGACGTTGCCCGTTGCGATCCCGTAGCTATCCTTGTAGTATAATCAAGGAAATGAAATCGTAATTAGCGGGAGTCCGTTGGTCCCCGAAATCGTAGCCAGGACTGGATTTTCGTGACGCAATCGACAATGACGGAAAATGGATTGCCTCAATTTGTCCGATTGAAACTATCCCCGGACACTATGCTCGGAATTCCTATTAACCTTTCTCTCCGATTCTCCCTCGAGTTTCTCTCTCTCTCTCTTTCCCCTTCTATTTCGTCCCATCAGTCGCCGTTGGTTTCCCATAATGCCGAGAGGGGAATCTTAGGCCGATCCTTTAGGGTCCATCCCTCCTAGCCCCTGGGTCCCCTTCGTTACTTGCATTTATACACGTCGCTTTTACTTCTGCCCTCCCCAGCTCGTCGTCTTTTTCTTCTTTTTCGTCCCTACCCCGAATGCCGGCAATTTTTTAACTGGCAACATCGCGCGTGCAACCCCCACGCTGATATTTCCTTCCGGAGATGGATGGAGAGGAATTAGGTTGAACCTGGAGGAGTGGATGGGCTGATTTATGCGTCGCGTTTTCGAGATGATATCGCGATTACGCGAACAACAACGGATTGAGGAATCGTTTCTTCGTGGGTGTTAACGGTTTGATCCGCGGGACGAGACCAGTTGCCTCGTAGAGGCGATCGTTTTTCATCCCTCGGGGCTTCGCCGCCGGCAGGCGAACGGAAGTCCCGATCGGACTCGGGGAGATTTTCCGTCGGGAACGGAACGCTGATTCAAGGAACGGGTTTAATGCAGTTTTGATGGATTAAAGGAGTAATTCGAGGGCGATCGGCCTGGATGAATGGGGAATATACTTGGGATAATTCCTTTCGATTTAATGTCGTTTATTAAATCGACGGGATTTCGATCTTGTAACCCGATGGTTCGAGTAACGCTGATATTAATTTGTTTGTTACTTTCCGTTGGTCGGCGATTCGTTGTATTAACTCTTTTCTAGCCCGAATTTCTTTTTTGTGACTATGCGAAAATTAATGTAATGTGAAACCAACAAATATCAACTTTTAAATAGAAATTAATGACGAATTTACAATTTTCAAAGATTTTATTATTCCTAGAGTTGAGAATCACTACAGAGAATCTTATCGGTTGCTAGAGAGAGGTTTTAGAACGCCATATAGAGTACGTCTTTTTTTTTTTTATTTAATTTTGAAAATGCAAAAAATATTTGATACGTAATTTGAATGGTAATTAAGTGGTCAGTACCTTGTAGGCGTTATTTTTTTCCTAATGTCGTTTTTTCCTCGTTGTTTTCTAGGTCATTGATATTTTTTTTCAAGTAACTTTATATTTTCTATATGACCTTGAAAAAAAAAAAAAATACGTACCTGAAAAAAACAACGCCGTCAGGATATCGATCACTTAATACCATTCGAATTACGTATAAAATACTTTGTCACAGTTAAACGAGACTATAAGCAACAAATAACAAATAAAATTAGACGAAAAAATACTGTATTGGCAAAAAATAAAATCAGACCAAAAGAACATCAATCTATCGGTATCTGATTTCGAAGTCACACGGGGCTATAAAGGGTTAATAATCGTCGTGAAGAGTTTCTTATAAGATCAAGCGTCGATTATCGTGTAACAAGTTACTGTCAGGCTAGCATCGGAATTTACTCGACGAATTCAACGTAATTACGTTACAACAGAGTTATTAATTTCCTCGTATCCGTGGGACCGATCTTACGTGCCAGATAAGATTCCCCGCGTCACACTGTTGCCGATCCATTTATAACGATAGACGGTTCACGGTGTGACGTATTAATCGTCGGATGGCACGACTGGAAATCAGTTCGAATCGATCCTGGCGTGATATTTCAGCTGGAATACGGTCTTTCCTGGCCCGTCCTCCCTCTCCTCGAACGCGTTCGCATTTATTACAAGCTTTATACCGCCGAGCTTCCAGTGATCGGGCTATATAACCGAGGCAAACACAGCCCCGCGCCTCGCTTTCATTCACGGCCCCGGAAATCAATTATTCATGCAGGATTCCGTTCCCCGTATTCTCGACGGCCGTTTCTTCTTCATCTTCCACGGCCGCGCGTTTCTCCGTGCTGCTGGCTCGATTGGATTCGAATCGCCAGCGGAGGCTGAGCGAAAGAAAGGAAGGAAAGGGGAAAAAAAAGAATAAAAAATACGAAGAATAGAAAGGAGCAATTAATATTCGATGAAAGGTTGCAAACCGTGCCGCTTTCTTTCTATTCTTGAATTAGCAATTTACACGAGTCTCTGCAACGGTTTGTAATTTTTTTATCTACGGGAAAGTCGTCTTCTTTCATCGTAATTCGTATTAATGGGAGAAGAATTTGTTGCTCTCTTCTTGAGTGTGTTACTTTGGAAATTTCGCGACCGTGAAGTTAATTTTTTATCGGGTAACGTGTAAATCTGGTGGATATATATTCAGGAATTCGAAATTGTACGCGTAAACACGAAGAGTTAAGTTCTATACCCGGGGTCATACAGTTATCTTGTTCCACTTTCGGGCGCGGAACATTCCGACCGGGCGAAATACTCTGGAAATTGCATTTAATTTAACGCGAGGTTTCGCGTTTCACGTTGAACACATTTCTCCGTTTTTTCAAAGTGATCGTTTATTCTTTTGCATTACATAAATTCATCCTGACGCCCGGTTCTACGGTTTAATCAACCGCGGTTTAATTGAATTTTTATTCACGCGACTCCACTTTCCTCTCGCGAGGACGACGAAACTTGAAACTACGGGTCTTTATGCAAAATCATATTGTTCAGGAGATAATTTACAGTGACAGATGTTACACAAGAATTCGTTTCTTCTCTGAAAAGGTGTCGGCGCGTTATAATTAACGCGAAGACTTCGGTAAATTATTGTTGAACGTTTTATTCTGTTGCATTTTACGTGCTTTTGTACACTCCTTGAATATATAACACCGACAATCGACAGTCAGTTTTGCAATTAACTGTTCATGTTTATCTGTGGTTCGTCGCCTGCCAGATATCCCATTATCTTAATTTTTTTTCTTCCCCTCTACGTCGCATCGATTACTAAAATGACAGATTGCAGATTTCTTATTTGACCATTATTGAATTTACGTTGACTTGTAATTTACTATAATATTTTATATTAATTGTTTTCTCCTAAACCAAAGAAACATTAAGAAAATATATCATTTATTTTTTAGTGTCCATCAGCTGCAATACACTCCCATAAACGGTTAAGAAATTACTCCTTAGTTCTGCTTACAACATACAATAATCTTAGAAATAGGTATCTTACAAAAATAGTTCTGTTTACAAAAATAGAATAATATAATCTGATCACGTTTCGTGGTTCACCCTGTACATTAACATAGATACCTAACATTTCAGCGGACTAACGCAAGGGTTAACATTCGTGACATCTTCAAAGGAAACAATTAAAAGAGGACAATCCTCTATTCCGTTGGAGGCGCCCACTGTTATGTACTCTTGTCGCAACCCAATCAATTTTGCAATTCGACAGGCGACAAATGTCGCGAAAGTATCGAACCGTTTTCCCTGAATCGCACAGGGGGTGACCGGTGTTAGTCGCTGGAACATTCTTAGTATTCATTAACGACGCGAGGGTTCGTCTGAGGGTCGGTGGGCCGCTTTGTTCGGCGCGGAGGGTTCCGGACACATAGAAGCGGCGTTTGTACGTCAGAATAATGGATGACTCCGGGTCCGGGTAATCCGTCCGGGGGCTTCGTCCCTGTCAGTCGATGACAACGCAATGCCAGAAAGACCAACAGAGAGGGAACAGGAGGAGCCAGGAAGAGCCGGTGAGCTTTCTCTCACACGGGTCATTGGTTTTGTGCGGGAGTGCAGGCTAACACGTAACGGATGATTGTCGCGCACACGTGTCGTTTCGCGAGCAAATTGCGTTCTAACGAATGTACCTATACAGGGTGGAGCAATAACTATGTCCACTTTGAATATTGCCGTTATTTGTAATAATATGAAGAAATGTTATGTACAAAACTTACACAGTATAGAGGGGGGCATATTGTGACAAACATTTTCTGCGTGGATGAAGGTATAGGGGAGATTTCAAGATCATCTCTATTTTTTTTTAATGGAATGCTATGTTTTTTTTATCACGATTTTTATCTCGCTGAAGTCGTCTCAACACCGACTATCACATCGATTCTGTGATTCTAATCCATGCAGTATTCAAAGTGCTGTAGAGGCTCGTTAAATATTGGCCGATTATCTCACTGCATCTTGAAATTAACTTCTTTGACTTGGATGGTTGTTTAGATTATCCATAATCGACAGTCGCACACTATTAACCAGCGACGAGAAATGACATAGAATCTTCGATGTATCACAAAGATTTGCGTTATATAATATTGCCTATCTTCAGTTAGATCATCTTGCGTTACATAGTAATGAATAGAAGATTATGGAT